AAATTCATCTGATAAGACTTTGATGAAGAGACGCCGGAAAATTCAGTTTGTGTTCTTCTAAAACCACAAAACTTTAAGGTTGTCCATGAAAGTTGTACAAGAGGAATTGCACACTTAGAATCGCTCTTTGCTCTCTATTTGTCTTCATTATCCTTGCCTCTTGATCCGTCTTTGGCTTCTTTCAGGAACGGCTTCTCGGAATACCGTAAAAGCCAAACAGAAGAAAACGCACAAGAAGCGTCATTATATAGAAAATGGGGGATTTCCTCGAAGTATTTCAAAAGGGAACTGAGAACTGTTAAGGTGTCGAGTCATGCCCTCAGTAATGAAGTGACCTTTGCCATGCGAATATAGGCCTTATGCGAATACCTCATATGACGTTTTTTTTAATATATTCCAAACCCCATTTACCGGCTAAAGCGACGAGACATACCAAGCAAGGGGAGTTAGTGAAGTGTCGGCTGCAATACGGTTCTGAAACAGTGAAGCGAGATTCATAATAGCGAGCATTCTGTTTCGAATTACAGAACTCCGCTTCACACACCTAGCATATAACATACCTCCTCTGTTCGAATTAAATGATGATAGGATTGCTCTTGGGATAAATACCTCTTGACAATATAGCGATTATAAAACTACGAAAACTGAACTTCTCGCACGATAATGGGAAAAAATACAATCTTCCAGTGATTTATGAAGATTGTATTTTTTCCCATTATCGTGTGAGAAGTTCATTAAAAATATAGTTTTAATAAATCACTTGAGAGAATATTGTGCCATTCCCGAAATAGTACACCTATAGCGCACTTATCAATTAACCTTCATTACCTAGAAGCTCAGTTATTACCGGTCGTTCACCTGCAAGGCCGATTGCACTGCACCGATTGCCATTGCAATTTGGGATAAAATCCGGGGAAATTATTGTTAGATGGATTTGCTTCTGCATTGATTGAAAAGTAATCGACTTTTAGATTAATAGTAACAAGAATTATGATAATAAAATTTTTATTATCATTATCCTTATTCATATTAACATTATCATCATTATCATTAATGTTAATGCTTTTAAAATTACTATCATCAATAAGAATATTCATACCATTCTAGTTATCATTTTCATCATATTAATATAACTATTATGAGCACTATTATCATCATTATCATTTCTCATTATCATTATCACCTTCATCCTTATTACGAACGTTATTATCCTTGATAATGCAGCGATTTATAATGCTGTTATAAAAGGCAATGATTCACACTCATCTTCCTTTGTACTTTTGCAACATTTCATTTTGCAAGCATTTTGGCAAAGCAGTTTCGTCTGGCCATTTGCTCCAATAAGCTGTAACACTTTAATTATTTGAGATTTTATGTGTATGACGTGTCGCTGTGAATAGGATGTAATGATTCGATGTTAAAGTGTTATTGAAGTGTTTAGTTAAAGTAGATATAGGATGGTAAGCGATTTGTTGAAAAGTATCGAAAAAAAAGTGAAAGGTTGTGAATACTGGGTAACAATCGTCATATATCGTTGGCAGACATTAAGCAAATCAAATTTCACGTGAAATAATGAAAGTGAAAAAGGTATTATTGCATTACCTGCTATAGTGGGTGTTATGAATATTAGGCCAAATGTTCCCAGTCTGTGATCTGCAGCACAATTTTTGCTTATCTATGAAAAACAGATTAATATCGTATGATTATCACGCGATTGCAATTTTTTTTTTTTTTTTTTTTTTTTTTTTTTTTTTGCTTTGCTTTGCTTTGCTAGTATTATCTAACCAGGCTGATCTCGAGATAATGGCAATTTCTGATTAACAACCGATTACAAATAATAGTGTGATAGATGATCACACACACACACACTAATATGATATAAGGTCTGTTCAGGCTGTTTCAAAATTGGTTGTTTACTGCGCACTTGGGCTTTGATGTCATGCATAATAGTTTGAGCCAGTAATGTAATAAGTTCGGTATAAACTAACAGAAATTATCATCATTTTGCGCTCATGTTTTCTTTCTTAAAACACGTAGGATGAATTATTTTGCGTTTGTATCCACCAAGTCAGTCTCCTGTAGCTGATAGTCATAATCACTATTAATTGATTTTAATAGATAAGTTCGATATAAACTAACAGAAATTATCATCATTTTGCGCTCATGTTTTCTTTCTTAAAACACGTAGGATGAATTGCCTTCCAGCATATGAAATATTTTACGTTTGTATCCACTAAGTCAGTCTCCTGTAGTTGATAGTCAGAATCACTTTTATTAGAATTTGATATCTCGAAAGATCTCATTATTATTACCAATGTTCTTGTGTTTATTGGTCTTCTTATCTGTATTGTTATTAACACCATAATTACCATTATCATTATAAGCCCTATTCTTATCAATATTGTTATTGTCGTTATCATAATTATAACCTGTTTTATATTGTTATGTTCATAATAATAAGGATGGGGATAGTGATGATAGTAATAATAATGATTATGATAATAATAAATGAATAAATAAAAGTAATAACAGTAATGATTATAATGAGGATGATTATAATGAGGATGAAGATGATGAGGTGAACCGTATTCATGTTGACAAATGTAGAAAAGGTACGAATTAGAATGAATATCTACACAATACAAGAGGTATATTTGACCGGTTTCGAATATATCTTCATCAGAAATATGGTCAAATGCATCTCTTGTATTGTGAAAATATCTATTCTCATTCATACCTTTTCTACATGAAAATGATGATACTGATAATAATAACAAACGTT